CGCCGAACGAATAAGAGCCGAACCGCACATTGGATCAAGAGCACGTAGCTCGGGGCCACCCCACTGGCCAAGACAATGAAAATCCACATGCCGAAGGGCGCCACCAGGCAACCGCAGAAGCCGCACCAGGTTGTGAATATCTTGTTGCAGTAGCTGCTTGGGGAGGGGCGCGAACTGTGCCACATAGGACAGTGTGGGTAGCGCTCTGGCCATGTAGTTGATTGCATTCAAAGAAGCTGGTGCAGCCGATGAAGAAAGCGCCGAGATGCGTGTTCTGTATTTATCCCACGGGCTCAGCCAAGAGCATAGTTCGGTAACAGCGGGTCCCAACCACATGCCCAGGTATAGTAGCTTCGCCTCGATGCGAAAGGCCAGCCAGTGAGGCACCAATTGTTCCAGCCCCATACGTAATCCGCCCCTCAGCTCGCCGCCAAACGCCCCCGCGAGCGGGACTATAACGCACTTCGGTGGCTTGAGCTTAAGGTTGGCAATTTTTCAGCCACCGCCATGACCCGTGCCAAGAACCGCAGGTCCACCAAAGCGAATAACACTCCACCAATATCATCAGCGCATGCACGAAAGAGACCACGATGTTTGAGCTCCAACCCAATCCGATGATCTTCAAGAAACGGCGATGTGGCTGCCGCGAACAGGCTACCAGACAACGCACACCCTTGGATGATGCCGCACTCGATGGCAAAGAGATCCGTAGTACTCCCACCAACCCGCCCCGCGGCAGTGACAGACGCATACAGTGAACAACAGGCAGAGAAGAGAGCCTCAGGAAGACGAAGAGGTATTGCTGGCTCAAGCTGGGGAACGCCTGGCCGAAGTCGAGGGCCACCAAGATCGGCTGCTGAGCCCTCGCCCTAGGGTGAAGGGGCGCGATCCTCGCCATGACGTCGAGCTCAAGAATGCTCGAAGTGAACTGCCTGCCCGCGATAAATCCCCGCTGCGTCCTAGATGTAGTTTGCTGTACAATCGGCGAGAAAGCCACATTGAGAGTCGCGGAGATGACCTTCATATCAGCATTGCGGATGCCGAGGGTGCGCACAGTGTCAGGGGAGCGAACGACCCCCCGCTCGTCATCGTCTCCAGCATGACACCCTTTGGGAAGAAATGCCTGCAGTGTCGCACCCGCTGACGGGAAGAGCGCCTGGCCATCCATCATCCAGCGACAAGCCTGCCACAAGACCACAGCTCCATGCTCGTGTGCTGCCCATGCTACGTAAGGGGGGCCGTCCACTCCAGGAGCAGAGCGTGAGGGTGCCATACGCCTCAAGGTACGCTGAAGCATCTGGCACGATGGCGGGGGCAAATCATCGAACACACACGGTTTCACAAACCTCTGGGCGTGCCTCTCAGCATGAACAGGGCGTGCAGGTGGGCGAGCCGACACAGGTGCCCAATAGCTGACCGAAGCGTTCAACTTCTCGGAAGGACCAGAAAGCTGCTGGCCGCCCACCTGAATGGCGCGCAGTGTGAGCCGCTTGCCGAAGGGGACCCAAAGCTTGGCCTTCCTTTGAGCTGCAGAAAGAGTGCCAGGAGAGACCTTCGCGCGGCCTTTCCCATGAAGAGCACCTTGTTGAAGCACTGCGAGTTGTTGCTTAGCCGCTCGATGTTGAATGGTATCCACCCAAGCTTGAAACGCCGAAAAATGAATCAACTGAACCAGTCCCTCGGAAGTGATGTTGACGCAGCGACCGAAGACCTCGGGCGAGTTGGCGACCTTCTGAGCCAGCCGCGCATCCTGCCGCCAAATAGCACGCGCAGCTTGCCGGGCGAAAGTCAGCTGGGCTTCAGGTTTGTCGATGTCGGTAACCAGTACTTGTTGGAGCGAATCATATGCCGCTGCGTCTATCAGCGCCTTGTGCCTCTCCATCTGACGAGGTGGAGACATGTCTGTAAAGTAACGACCATCTTGGCGCAGAACCTTGTCGAGTCGGGCGCGGAAGTCATCGCATAAACAAAACGCGGTACGGGGCGACGATAGCTATCGTCAAGGGAGCGGCGCTGACGATGAACCCGAAGAGCAGCATGATCCGAAATGTGCTGCTCGCTGAGACGCTCAGGAGACGAAACAACAGCCGCAGAGTGATGAAGTTGACAGGCTACCCATCCAGGCTCAGATAACCACAGTCGATCCAGCTGAGCTACGGAATGCGATTCTTTGCAATAATGCGCAGGGTCTTCCGCCGAAAGCTCAATCATCTTGTCCAACGCCACTAACCAGCTCTTCATATGTGTGCGATTGTTGTTGGTCGGACGGGTCGATCGCTTCAGGTTCGGCTGAGCCAGGTGTAGTGGCCCCGATGCTGCAAAGTTGAAATCACCACAAACTACCAATCTTGACTGAGGGTCAGCTTGCGCCCACTCTAAGTCTGCTGAAATGAGGGAAGAAATGCGCTGCACATCGTCATGATGAAGGTCATGGTTGTGCGCGTTGTAATGGCGAATCTCAGCATGTGATCCAACCAGCCACGTCTTGAGCACCCGACCTGGAACCAGCGAGCGAGAAGAGGGCGCCTCCAGCGAATTAGCAGAAAGCGGCACCACCGTCGCCACACCACCTCGCGCATGGCCGCAGGCGTCAGTGTCAAACGAGCCGAAGACAGTGACCTCTGGAGCGATCCGCCGCAAGAAGAAGCGAAGCTCGTCCAACGACTGATGGACTTCTTGTAAAGCAAAAACCGAGGACGAAATCCCTGCTAACTGTAAGCACGCAGCTTTAGCCATCGCTTGCGTGCCTCGCCACCGAAGAAGCGCGCGGGCGTTCCACGTGACAAAGGACAGCTCAGATCACTTTAGAGGGATACTGACAGTGGCCTGATGCAGAAAGATGTCGTCGTAGATGCTAAAGAGACCACTCTGGCGCCACCGTTGGTGCAGCGATCGGATCAAGGAGGCGTCGTAGATCTGCACGTGACCATTGCCGTGCAGTGATCACCGCATCATGCCAGAAGATCTTCGTGGGGTCGCGACCAGGCTGCGGTTCGATTCTGACGATAGGGTTCCAACTCTCCGTGATCCACCCATTTTGACGATCGAAGAAGAATTTGGCGTCTTTGAACTCATCACGAAGCGCTGCAACCATTCTTTTTCCTGTGATCTCCATCTTGATCTGAAACGGATTCTTATCGGGGCCGATATGCAGTTGGGTGCTGCCCCCACTGGCTGCGGGTATGGGGAAGCGCATCCATTGACCTTTACCTGGTAGCCGAAGGGCAGATAACGCGGCAACAACCTTCTTTCCCGCGATACCCACAGCCCCAGAGAACTGGATCGTGAAAGGCTTGTCTTGGTCGTCGCCCAGAATAGTGAAGCCGTCGATGCTTGCACCTTTGAGCCATTTATCCACCGAGTCTTGAACGTCACACTTCTTGACGAGAGTCGGAGCAACGACCTTGAGAATCGTACCATCCACCGCACGATTGAACCCAGGTGTTGGCTCAGGCGGTGGTGGGGATCGATTTGCGACCGCCAACTCTTTGCGGAGTTCGTCGACCAGGGACTTGAGCTGCTCCATGTCAGTAGCCAGCGTCTCTGTGCGGGTGTCAATGTCACGGACCTGCGATTGGATGGTGTCGATCTGCAGCTGTAGTCGTCTCTGCATGGCGTCGAGCTCGGGGCGAAGCTGCGCCTCCAACTGGGACTTACATGTTTGCGGTACTTGCTGAACGGCAGCTTCCACTCCTTTGATGGCGGCCATGACGGGGTCGACAGCGGACGAGGCGGCCTTGCTGGCAGACGCGGTGACCAGCTCGGTAACCTCGTTCTGGAAGATGCTGAACTTGGCCTGCAGCTCGCCGTGAATGAGGCCTTTGATATGTTCTTCCCAGCCATCCGAGTCCATGAAGTCCTCTTCACCATCACTGGATGCACCTCGATTGGAGCGGGAACGAACGTCGTCGTCACCAGCGGCTGCAGGCTGTGCACCAGCCCGCGCATCACTATCAGCAGCACCGCCAGCACTCCGTACGGGACGAGGCTTCTTCTTCCGCTTGGCTCCATCTGGTATGAGCGAGACTTCACAGGCGCCCAAGACTGCTCAGTCGCAGGGCGGCGACAGGCAGCAGCTAACGGGGGCGGACCCGTTGGCTGAGACACAACTGTCGGGCAGCGATGCCCTGGCACTGGCCGCGGACTAGCGGTATCCACGTGTTCCCCTGTGGAACAATCCATCTTGAGCCAAAATGGCTACGGACGGGTGAGGAGGAGGAGGAGGAGGAGGAGGAGGAGGAGGAGAGAGGAGGAGGAGGAGGAGGAGGAGGAGGAGGAGGAGGAGGAGGAGGCCAATGCCACCGCCCCCTTGCTGGCACCGCGGGCTGCGCCCCAGCAGCTCCGAGCGAGCCCGCTCCACGCCGCAGGGCTCCCGAGCTGCGCGGGGCCCCACGGGCGGGGCACCGCGCCCCGCCTGGGTGCGCCGCGCCAGCTGCCGCTGCGCCGCGCCCCGGGCAGGTGACGCTTTGCGCTGCGCCTGCGGCGCCGAGGGCCGCGCGCGCAGCGCACGCGGCTGGCGGCGCGTGGCCCTGGCGGAGTCGGCCAGCAGGCAAGACGCGACGGCCATCCAGGGGCAGGAGAAGGGAGAGAAGAGAGGAGGGAGAGGGGGGAGGGGGAGGGAGAGGGGGAGGGAGGGGGGGGGGGGAGAGGGGGAGGGAGAGGGGGAGGGAGAGGGGGAGGGCGAGGGGGGGAGGGAGAGGGGGAGGGAGAGGGGAGCGGATGGGGGGATGGAATTTCGGGCAGGGGAGGAGGACGGGGGGAGTGGAGTGGAGGGGGGGAAGGGCCATGGGGACAGAGAAGGGGGGGGGGGGGGGGAAGGCCCAGCGGGCGCGCCCGCGCCCCATCTGACACCCTCCCCGCCCGCCCGCCCCTCTCCAGAGGCGCCGACGAGCCTCGCGCGCACCCGCTCGAGGGCGCCGCGCGCGCCCGCCGCGCCCCGCCCGACGGGTGCCGCGCGAGGCGGCCGCGCGCGCCCCCGCCGCGCGCGGCGGCAGGCCCGCCTGGCGCCCAGGCGCTGCTCCTCCGCCTCGGCTTTGGCGCGGGCGCCGCGCTCCGCGTCCAGGGCCTGGCCGCGCCGGCCCCGCAAGGGGGGGGGGGGGGCCGGGCCCGGCCGGCCCCGGGCTCCCTGCGCCCTCCCGCCCGCCCTCTCCTCCCGACTCCCACTCCCACGCCGCCGTCGCCGTTGCCGCCGCCGCCGCCGCCGACGACGGCGACGATGCCACGCCGCCGTCGACGTTGCCGCCGCCGCCGACGACGAAGACGACGACGACGGCGACGACGACGGCGACGACGACGGCGGCGACGACGGCACCCCCAGCTCCCTCAGTCCTCCATGCCACGCCCGCTCGCTTTTTCGCCCGCCTGCCGTCTGCTCCCCCGTCCGTCCCTGGTCGCTCCTCCCTCCCTCTCTCTCTCTCTCTCTCTCCTTGTGCCCCTCTCGGGAGTGAGGGCAAAAGAAAGCGAGAAGAGCGTGGAGGGTAGCTCATGGGGGGCAGGGAGAGAGAGAGAGAGAGGAGACGAGAGGAGAGGCGATGAGAAACGAAACCAAACGTGCACACGATGATCACAGCCACGCGCACGCGGAGTGCGGTCTAGCTGGGCTGCCAGTCCACTCCAGCCCCGCTGCGTACTGTTGTCGCAAGCGATCTGCACAAGCGCTCGCGCTGCATGCCGTAATTTTGCCCATCCCTCAGCCCTCCCTTCTGCCCATCCCTCCTCCTGTACCCCGTCCCCTCCCCTTCCCTCTCCTCGTCCCATCCTGGGAGAGGGGATGGGCAGAGAGGGTGAGAGGAAATATAGGTGCGCCCGAGCCACATCGGACATCTCTTCCGCCACCCATCCCTTATCAGTGTGTTACTTCCCGCATATGCTTATCGGATCCTCTGAGCAGGATGTCCAAGAAGAACTTGATACCCAACTGCAACTTGAAACGCTTGGCGTATTGCATGCTGTGCCATCGGCAAGGTTGCCTGTTGCACATTGTAGTGTGAGGAGGCGGAGGAGGAGGAGGAGAAACAAGATAATGATACGGAGGATCAGCAAACAACGCAAGAGGAGAAGGGGAACCAGAGGAGGCGAAGGAGGGGATCGGCAACGACGAGAAATGAATGGGATGCAGAAGTGCGGCTCGCGCTGGGGCGAGAGCGCCGCTCCGAACGACCGAAGAAAAACACATATCTTGAAATACAGCTAACGCGGCAACGGGAACTCCATTTTGGAATACTGGCAACGCTCTGACTGGGAAACCGCATGCGGGCAAACCGCCAAACAACTGGAGCGTGTACGCCCGGCACGCAGATGCCAATAACCATCAAGAGGGCATGGGCAGAGAAGGGGGAACATGGAGAATGGCAGGCGAGGTGACAAGGAAGCGATGGAGGGGGGGGGGGGCGGGGAGGCGGGAAAGGCATGGGGGGAAGGAGGGGCGACGGAGGGAGCAGGCGAGAGGAGAAGCGGGGGGGGGGGGAGACGCCCACCTACGTGGGGGGTGGGAGCCGGGCTCAGGGGGTGGAGTGCTCGGGTGCACGGGGCGCGGTGGCAGGGGCACTGGGCAAGCCAAACGGGACGGGACCGATATACAATATACACCTGCTCCCGGGACTCTCCTCGGGCTCGTCCTGACCAGGATCTCGACGCGAGTCCGGCCGTGGCGACGAAGGACGCGCAGCGGCATCGGAGCCGTTCCGCCTTCGAGAGGCGGCGCGGGGGCACACGCGAGGCAGGGGCGAAGCGGCGACCGACGATCCGACAGCTTCCCAGCGCGCCTGCCGCAGCTCCTGCTCGGCCACCGCCCGCGCTTGCTCCTGGCTCGGCGCTGCGGCTGGGGGCGTTCCCGCCCGCGCGCGTGGCTCCTCCTCCTCCTCCTCCTCCTCCTCCTCCTCCTCCTTCTCCTCCTCCTCCTCCTCCTCGACCCTCGACCTCCTCATCCTCCTCCTCCTCCTCCTCCTCCTCCTCCTCCTCCTCCTCGTCCTCGTTTTTCTCTCCCTCTGCATCCCACCCCCAGGACAGGACTGCTTCTGGTGGGGTGCGCTGGTGCGCGCTCGCGAGGCGCGTGTCCCACCCCCCCTCCCGGCGTCGGCTGCGCCCAGGAATCCTCGCCTCCCCCCCCCCCCTCCCCACGCCGCCCACGCGACACGCGTCTCGCCTCGCGCGGGTGCCTCGCTGGGCGACTGCGGGCGTCGGGGCCTCGCTCCGCGCTCGAAGCATCGCGCCAGCGGTGCGACTCCTCCTCCTCCTCCTCCTCCTCCTCCGCTCCCTCCTCCTCCTCCTCCTCCCTCCTCCTCCTCCTCCTCCTCCTCCTCCTCCTCCTCCTCCTCCTCCTCCTCCTCCTCCTCCTCCTCCTCCTCCTCCTCCTCCTCCTCCTCCTCCTCCGCCCAGGGCGGTGGCGTGCGCCTCACGCCCTGGGCGGTGGCGCAGCTGCGCCACGTCGGCAGCGGGCTGCGAATCTCGCGCTGGAGTCGGCGCGCGGCGCCGGGAAGCTGCCCCGCGCGACCCGGCGGCGCTCGTGCGCCGCGGGGGGGAGGGATGACGGGCGCGCCGTGTCGGACGGCTCGGGCATCTTGTTCCGCGCGGGGGTCGGCGCGCGGTGCCACGCGGCCTGCTCGCGCACCTGGACTGCGCTCGCGCGCGCCGGCGAGGACTCGCGCGCCACCGGCGAGGTCTCGGAGCGCACGTTCTCGCGCGGGGTTCGGCGCGCGGCGCCAAGCAGCCTCCTTGCGCGAGTTGGCAGCGCCCGAGCGCGCGGGTGAAGGCTCGCGCGTCGCATCGGCGGCGCCGTGGTCTCGATCCGCGACAGCAATAGCACTTCGCTGCGCGACTGGACACGCGCGAGCGGAGGTCTCTGCGGATGCGCCGTGTTCGCGCCACAGATGCGGGCGCATCGCTTCGCGACCACCGCGCGGGGGGTGGGTGGGGGGCTCTGCACGAGAAGAACTTGAACGGCTTTCGGTCCGACAAGCCGCGTCAAGTGGATTTTCCGATTCCTGGACCTTCCTGGAGCTGCTTGGAACTTCCTGGCGTTTCCTGGGGCCTCTTGGGGCTTCCTGAGGCTCCCTGGGGATCCATGGAAGCTTCCCGGGTGCTTCCCGGGGCCTCTTGAGGCCTCCTGGTAGCTCCTGGGGCTTCCCGTCGCCGCGCGGACTGTCTCTGCGGATGCGCTGCAAACGCGCCGCATACCCGCGCTTGCCGTTACGCGACCACCGCGCGGAGGGGTGGGTGGGAAGGCCTGCGTGAAGAACAATTGAACGGCTTTCTCGGGCCGGGGTCCGTCAGGCCCGCGTCAACTGGGGCTTCTTGTGAGCTTTCTGTGGCCCTGGGGGCTCCTGTGTCCCTCCCCCCCGGGCTACCTCGAGCCTCCTGAAGTTCCTGGGGCCTCCTGGGGCTCCCTTAGGTTTCCTGAAACTTCCTGCGGCTTCCTGGAGCCCCCGGGTTTCCTGAGGCTCCCTGGGCGTTCCCTGGAGCTTCCTGGGTGCTTCCCGGCGATTCCTAGGGCTTCCTGGGACCTCTTGAGGCCTCCTAGTGGCTCCTGAGGCTTTCTGTAGCTTCCCGGTGCTCCTGAAGCTCCCTTGGGCTTCCTAGGCGTTTGGGGACGCCTGGACGCTCCTGGAACGTCTGGGAACGCCTGGAAGCGTCTGAAAGCGTTTTGGGGCGCCTGGGGGCGCCTGCGAGCGCCTGGGAACGCCTGGGCGCGCTTGGGCACTGCTGGAGCGTCTGGGAGCGTCTGGGAGCGCCTGCGAGCGTGGGGGGGGGGGGGGGGGGCGTCTCCGAGCATCTGGGAACGCCTGTGAGCGTGCGGGGGCGACTGGTGAGGCTGCCTGGGGAGCGCCTGGTGCCGTTTGGGAGCGGCTGGGCGCTCGTGGAACGTCTGGGAGCGCCTGGGAGCGCCTGGGACGTCCGGGAAAACTCCCTGGAGCGCTTGGGAGCGTCTGACGCCGCCTGGGGAGCGCCCGGGGCCGCGTCAGGAGCGCCTCGGGCTGCCTGGCAGCGCCTGGGCGCTCCCGCAGCGCCTTGGAACGCCTGGGAGCCCTGGGGGCGTCGGGGAGCCCTGGGAGCCCTTGGGGGGCGCCTGCGGGCGTCTGAGGGCACCTGGGGAGCGCCGGGGGGGCGCCGAGGGGAGCGCCCGAGGCCCCCCGCAGAGCGCCAGGGGGCGCTGCTGGAGCCTCTGGGAGCGCGGCAGGCCGAGGAGCGCCTGGGGGCGCCGGGGGCGCGGGCGCTGTGCTGTCTCTCTGGAGAGGTCGCGGCCTCGAGAGCACTGCTCGCGTCTTCTCTCCTCTCTATAGAGAGCTACACTTCTGCATGCGTGTCTGGCCTGGCGCCGCGCCTTCACACTGGAAGCTCCACAGGTTGACTCTGACTTCGTGGAGCACGGCAGGACCTCCTTGAGATTCCCTACAAGCGATTTCGCTCCAGATGATGGGCCTGTTTTCCACCACCACCACCACCAGAAGTTGGAGAGGGAAGGCGGAGGAGGACGAAGAGGAGGAGGAGGAGGAGGAGGAGGAGGAGGAAGAGGAGGAGGAGGACCACCTCCCTCTCCAACTTATGGTGGTGGTGGAAAACAAGCCCATCACCGGAGGGGTGAGGGATCAAAGCTGTGCTCTGCAGCCAGGGGAGGACGACGCAGCCCGCCTCCCGCACCGCTCGCCTGCCGGCGCGGTGCAACCGGCGCTCCGCTGCGCGGCCCGGCCAGCAGTAGTCGCTCGCGTTGCCTGACGACTGTCGGGGCCGGCGCTCGCTCCTCCTCCTCCTCCTCCTCCTCCTCCTCCTCCTCCTCCTCCCTTCCTCCTCTCCTGCTCCTGCTCCTGCTCTCCCCTCGTCCCTCCTCCTCCTCCTCCTCCTCCTCCTCCTGCTCCTGCTCCTCCTCCTTGTCCTCCTCCTCCTCCTCCTCCTCCTCCTCCTCCTCCTCCTCCTCCCGCTGCGCGTCAGAGGGGCCCAGGAGGGATCTTTGTGACAGGCCTAGAGGTTGACACTCAGCACGAAAGAAATGGGTACGGAAAGAATGGGTACAATGCCCAACAGCAGTTCCTGTTCAGTTTGAGCAGGACTCGCTGTCCGCGCCGCCGCGGCCTGTGTCCATGTGAGACAGAAGGCCGCCTTCCCAACAGCGGCCGCTGATGGTTTGGGACAACATTTGTTGTTGGGCATTGTACCCATTCTTTCCGTACCCATTTCGGGCGTCCAAGAGAGAGGGGGAGAGATGGCGACAATGAGGGGCACAACGAATAATCGAATGGGTCCACACGTCCTTGCTGCAGGCGGGGTGCCCGGGCGACTCCTCTCAACAGCAGCACTCCTCCTTGTCCTCCTCGTCCTCGTCCTCGTTGTGGTGGAGAGCTGAGGCGAAGGGGTCTTGCTCGCGCTGTGCGGCGGGCTGCAAAGCGGCCCCGTCTTTTGGGCTGAAGGTCGCCACTGTCGCCCACGGTCACCCAGCAGCGCTCAGCTGGCTGAGTCACTCGAGGTGCCCGACCGACCGACCGACCTTGTCTTCGTCTCGTTCTCCTCCGATTCTCGTATCCCGAACGACGAATCTGTCCTACCTTCACCTCGCACGGGAATTCGCAAAACGGACTGGTGGCGAGGCAAGCACACAATCACTCTGGCGGCTGGAGGTTGGGGATATGAGCGCATCCGGGGAACCGTTGTTCGGACCTCAGACTGGCGGTGCTTGTTTGACTTGATACCCTTGCTCTGCTCCTGGTGTCGAGGGGAGCCGGGCTCGATGTCATGGTGCAGAGGTGCGAACGAATAATCGTTTGGCAACCAAATGCCGGCGATGTGCCAATGCAGTAGTGTGGATATATTGCGACGGCATCGCGATTCGTATTATGCAAGCTAGGTGTACCCCTGTATACTCACGTAATGGACCAACTTTGGGATCGATTTTCAAGCAATGGCTCATTGTGAATAGCTTATGATCCGCCGTTGCGGGGTCGCGGATTCGTAGTACTGTCGTCGTGCCGTGGTGTCGAAGCGGTGGTGTGTGGATCAAGCTCAAGCTTGAATCCGCTGGCCCCCTTCGTTGCGCCAGGCTGTGGAACTCCGTCATGTCATGTCGCCAGCAATACCAACTCCGTGGCCAGAAAGGAACGCAGCGCACACTGCGCGAGAAGGGGCGGAATGTCGCTCTCGCACAGAAAGTCGCGTTTCTGCCCAGGCGAGGCGCATGTTCGCTCGCGCGCAGAGCATGCCGTAAGCGGGACCGCACGCGCGAGAAAGCAACATTTGTTCCCGCTCAAACGCCGCGCAGCTTCTTCCTGAAGGTTGCGAACCCGCCTGGGCGCGGCGCGAGATTTAGATTCTGGCTCGCGTAGCACGAAAGACGTGGGAACGCGCAAGCAAGAAAGCGAAACATTGTTCACGCCTCATCGCCGCGCGCATAATCCCACAAGGAGGATACCGAACTCGACTCGTGCCCGGGCAAAAAACGCGCCCCTCTTCCAGGCGGCGGACCGAAGCAGCCGGAGGAGGAGGAGGAGGAGGAGGAGGAGGCGGAGCAGGAGAAGGAGGAGGAGGAGGAGGAGGAGGAGGAGGAGGAGGGGGAGGAGGAGGAGGAGGAGGGAGGAGGAGGAGGGAGGAGGAGGAGGAGGAGGAGGAGGAGGAGGAGGAGGTCCGCCTGCCGCGCTCGCCGCCCCCGCCCTTCCACCCTCGGGGCGCTCCCTGCGAGTCTCGAGGGCCACGGCTCGGCGCGCCGCGCCCAGCCGCCTCCTCCAGCTCCGCCTCGTCGGCCCGGGCCTGGGCAGAGGGGCGCCGGGGAGCGAGCGCTGCCGCCCTCCCTGCGCTGTGCAGGAGCCCGCCCAGGGCCTTCCCGCTGCGCGCCCTCGTGGGCTTTCCTTCATCCCTCCTCGGTTTCCCCCCCAACAAAACATGTTCCTCCTCGGTCCGTATCCCCCCCCCCCCCCTCCCGACCCTCATTTTCATCCCTCCGCTTGGACCCCTCTCGCCCTTCCGCCCTGTTCCCCGTCGTGCCGAGGAGGCCCGGGCTGATTACTCGCGCGCGTACAGCCCACAAGGAAGAAGAGGAGGAGAGGGGGCGTGAGCAGGAGGAGGAGAGGAGGAGGAGGAGGAGGAGGAGGAGGAGGAGGAGGAGGAGGAGGAGGAAAACGAGGAGGAAAACGAGGAGGAAGAGGAGGAGGAGAAGGAGGAGGATGAAGAGGAGGAGGAGGAGGAGGAGGAGGAGGAGGAGGAGGAGGAGGAAAACGGGGACGGAGGTTCGACCAGTTCGTCCCAGCGGTTGGATTAACGCAACTGCGACCGCGCTCCAATCGCGCTCCCACGGGGGGTACGTCGTGAGTCAAGCAAGGACTCTCTCGGCCAGATGATCAAACCTACGCGGCTGCCACGGGTGAGTTTTGGCAAATGGTGGCGGAACGGAGCGGCTGCATTGAATGAGACGGGCCAGTGCGGGGATGCGTTTCTGGGACGTCACCCGAAGCTAGGACGCCACGAGCGCGGTGGCTCGCCAGGCGGAAGCCCAGGTGGTGCCACCGCAAAATGAGGTAACCCTCCAACTCGCTGGCCCGTGAAGACGGCCCCGCTACGCATCGTTGTCTGTAAGGTTTTCGCTCGCGCCCATCCTCGACGCTTCTCTTTGTTGCAGCAGAGGTAGTGGCGCGGCTCGGTGCTCGGCCGCCGCTTGAGCTGACGCAGCCTCATGCTTGGGGAAATCCATATGCTGCCCAGGCGAAGAGGCTCGCCCCGAAAACGCCTCACCGCCGAAGTGGCGCGCTCGGCGAGGGGGTCGGCCCCTTGGCTCTGCTTGCTCACTATCGCCGGGGGCCAGGGAAAGAGGGGGTGGAAGAGGCCGGGGGGGGAGCGGAGGAGCTGCAGTTAGCCTGAGAGCGGGCACCGCGACGGCAGCGGCCGTCGGCGAGCCCGCTCAGACGCGCAACCCCCTCAGACGCTCATCCCGCGCGTCCAGGCAGTCGTGGCCTGCGAGGGCCGCCGCCGACAATGGCGCGCTGCCGCTGCGCCGAGGACGCGTCGCAGAGCAGGCGGGGGGGGCGGAGGCGGAGGAGGAACAGGGCGACGACGATGACGACAACGACGACGGCGACGAGCACGAGGACGACGAGGACGACGAGGACGAGGACGACGAGGACGAGGACGATGAGGACGAGGAGGAAGAGGACGATGAGGACGAACACGAGGACGAGGGGGAGGAGCGGGAAGAGGAGGAGGAGCAGGAGGAGGGTGAGGAGGAGGAGGAGCAGGAGGAGCAGGAGGAGGAGGAGGAAGAGAAGGAGGACGCGGAGGAGGAGGAGGAGGAGGAGGAGGAGGAGGAGGAGGAGCGAGCGGACCCAGGGACGACCGACGACAGCGTCGAACGCGGGCGGCGGCGCGGTGGCAGCAGAGGGGGCGGGCCGCATCGGAGCAGCGATGGGCCACGCCAGAGCGGCGTGGCCACCTGGCGCAGCCGCGCCCGTGCGAGAGCATGGGGCTCGCGGTCCGAGCGGGGCCGCTCTCGGGCGTCGCAGAAGAAAGAGAGAGAGAGAGATGGAGAAAGAGAAACAAAACACAGAGAGGGGGAGAGAAAGAGAAAGAGAGAGAGAGAGAGCAGGCAAGGTCATGGGCGATGCCTGCCGAAGGGAAGGCAGGGACGGGCAGGGGGCCCAGGGGGAAGACGAGGACACGATGGATTGCCAAGTCATTCGAGGAAACCTCGGGGAGCTCGGGGAGATACTGGAAAATGCCTTCTAAGATGGGGCAGGACACGCAATGCAACATGTCGCCACCCCCGACGGCAAACTTGCGCCACTTGCAGGACTGGGTGGGTTCTCGAAGCCTCCTAGTAACACACCAACTATTACACATAATTCTGATCGAGGCAACGGAAATGAACAACGGGGCATGCTGGGCAAGCCTACGAAGGTACATAACACACGAATCGGTGCTGGAGGCCGAAGGGGGGATTCTAGTGAAGTACCTAATGCGTTTGGCTATAATCTACCTAGCAGAGAAGGGCCGCTCATAGCTCAGGAGACGATCGATGTTCCTCTGCAGGGGCTGGGTGCATGACGGCAAATTGGGAAGTGCGGTGATGTGGTCGTAGTTGTCAATCAGGGCGATGGCCGATGATGCCTCCACGAGGGGATGCCGCCGCCACAGATATACACAATCGTCAGATTCGGCAAACGCTTCAACTTCCCGCCCGTGCTCGAAGAAAGGCGATGGGTAATGGGTTCACCTGAACATAGCGGCACGGCACACGCCTTCGAGGTCTCTGATCCCCGCACGGGCGCGAGATCTTGCTGCGTCGACGTCGGGGCGGCGTTTCTCAGCGCGCCGGCGAGGGCCTGGCCAGCCCCCCGAAGCCTGTCGGTGGCAAGCTTGGACGGAAAAAAAGGATCGGCCTATGAACGAGAGGCAGGAGAGCCCGTAGACGTTGAACCAGCCCCAAGAATAAGCTGTCAATGCCTTGGGGCCTCCCTTCCTTTCTCCGCACAGGGTCCTCCCCAACTCAGACGCGGGGCATCAACCCGCGACTCATCCCAAGATGCCCAGCAGCGGTAGCAATAATGAAGCCGTTAGGCTGAATCCCGAACTCGCGGAGCTTGTTCTTGAACTCGCGCAAAGTAGGACGGCAGAGGGGTGCCACCACCGTCTTCTTTAGATGGATAAAAAGACCTGCAGCTCCTGCAGCAACCACCCAGACCTCCAAGACGATGGAGAGCGCTTGGTAGATATCCCCAGAGTCGAGCCCGGCGTCGTCCAAGAAAGCTCGGAGAATTCCGAGGCCCCGAACAATGTCCAGACACATCATGCTGAAGATTGGGTCGATGGCCAGGGCGCCCCCCTGTTTGACCCCTCGCCCCTGCCACAAGTGGCGGCCCCTCAAACCGCAGAAGAAGATGTCGATCCTCACGTGCAAATGCAGGGCGTGGGCGGCCACCCCGATGTTCCCAGGCACGTGCATGGCGAAGATGACCCACGACATCATGCCATGGAGGAGGTCGGGGAAGGCCGCCTTCACGTCGAGGGCCGCGACGCCCGTATCTTTGCACAGGCGCTGACAGTACCAGTGGACGATCTTGGCCTCGATGTGAAGAATGCTGTTGATCATGCTCCTCCCATTGGTAAGCCCCGCCTGGGCATCGTTGCAATTTTGCACGCGCAGCAGACCCATGGGAACGCTGATCGCCTCCGAGACGACCTTGATGCAAGTGCAGCTGAGGGTAATGGGCCTGGCGCAGTCTGCCGCTCGGAAAAGACCGGTACCCACCGCGTCAGAAGCTTGCTCGCCTTTGGCCAGGAACACAGCCATCCCATGGCTAACATCGCCCCCAGGAAGAGCCTCGTTGAGCACCGAACGATAAACCTGGCAGATGAGGTCCTGGACTCGTGGGCCTCCCTGAGCCTAACACGAGAGCGGATCCCCATCAGGCCCGGGGGCGCCGTCGAACAGATCAGCGACGATGTTGCGCACCTCGGGGCGCTCAAGGATCCAGTGGGTACCTGGCGGGCACTGCTGGACACGCGGGCGATGGAGCTCACGAACGTGGGCTGCCCCATAGAAAACACTTGCGAACCCCTCCCCAGCGTTGGGCAGGGGCGCGGCCGACGTCATCAGGGTCGCGCAAGTGCCGCCCCGCGGGGCCCATGACTCCAGAGAGGGAAACCTTTTTTCTATGGGGCTTGCCCCGGGCCGAAATGTAGGACTCCATGCGGGCATTCAGAATCGCATTCTTTAAGGGGCCATCGGGGCGGCCTCGATTTCCGCTCGGCGCTCCTGGATTCTCTGGTGCGAGAGACCTCGGAGGCGCTCATGAAACTGGCGCTCGCGGGCCCAGGCGGCGCCAGAATTCTGAACGAACTGGCCGGGCTTCAGGCAGCGCCGCGCAGTGCGTGCTAGCTCAGTGGCTAGTCGCACCAACGCCCATGAGACTGAGCGGCCGCGTGTTCTGCGCGCATGTGCACTAGGAAGGCCGAAGAGCAAGCCTCTGTCGGGCGAGCTGCACAGCGCCTCGGAAGACGCCCCTGGCTTCCTGAAGGGCACATTGCAGGCCCGGGTGGAGCGGGCCAACGTGCCCGAGAAGCTTTTTCCGCCTCCTGAAGGAACAGCGGGCGCCTAGAGACCTGCGACAGCACCTCGGCGATCCCAAGAGGCCCAGAGGGCACGAAGGTGACGCAGGCGGGGGCGCGGCCCGGGGCGCCCCCCTCTTGTTCGGGACACCGAAGACGAAGCTGTTGGGGTTGAGGGCCAGGGCCTGGGCAGGGTAGGGGTTGGTGAAAATGCGGTCGATCCCTTCGAGACTGGCACCTTGCTGGACAACGTGCGGGACGCGGAAAAATACTGGCTGGTCGACCTCGAGCAGCAGAGGAAACGCGCGCGCGGGCAAACTCGGTGGCAGGGGCACTCTGGGGCACTGGTACCGCCGCGCGCCCGTCACTGCGTGCTCTGCTCTCGCCGATGCGGGGCCCTGCTCTCGCCGATGCCGGGGAATCCCAGCCCCCTGGAACAACGGATAGCCCCGCCCTTCGAGGACGAGGAGCTCTGCGCAAACGCAGCAAGACCCCCGTCTGTTCGCACCGACGAAATTTGGGGTTGGGGTGGAGATTGATAAGCCGGTGGTTCCCGTGTGCCCAGAGAGAAGAAGACAGGGTAGCCGCCTTCGGATGTGTATATGATGAGAATGAGGAGGGAACAAAGCAAAGAGAGCAGGGTGCACAACCATCATGCAGCCGCCCACTCCATCCCGAGCGAGAAACGCGCCAGAAATGTGCGAACCGTAAATGACATGCTGTAGCCATTCATGTCTTCACGATCAAGTGCTCAATCACCGCAGACGCCTGGGCGCTGTCGACGGCCTCCTGCACGCGGCGGGCCTGCTGGCCCACCTCTCGTTCAGCTTGGCCATGGCGCCATCGTCGTCCTTTCAGGTGGCCTGGAGCTCGCGCTTGGCGGCGAGAAGCCTCCTGCTTGCGATCGGCCCCATGTTCTTCGGGAAGTCCATCTCCGTCGAGTCGGCGAGGCGCGGCGAGGGCGCTCCCCCCCCCCCCCAGGGCGGGGGGCGGAAGCGCAGGCGCCGCCGGGATCAGCGGCAACAGCGTCTGCCGTGGCGGCAGGCGCGGCCGACGGGGGAGCCGAAGGCACGGCGGGCAGGGGACGTTCGTCCACGGCCGCGTCCGTCAAACTGAGCGGGCTCTCTCTCTCTCTCTCTCTCTCTCTCTCTTTCTCTCCCTCTTTCCTGTCTCTCTTTCTCTCTCTCTCTCTCTCTTTCTCTCCTCTCTCTCTCTTTCTCTCTCTCTCTCACTCTCTCTCTCTCTCTCTCTCTCTCTCTCTTCTCTCTCTCTCTCTTCTCTCTCTCTCTTTTTCTCTCTCTCTCTTCTTCTCTCTCTCTCTCTCTCTCTCTCTCTCTTATATATATATAATCTTCTCTCTATCCCCCCTCTTCCCTCTCTCTCTCTCTTTCTTTCTTTCTTTCTTTTTTTTTTTCTCTCTCTCTCTCTCTCTCTCTCTCTCTCTCTCTCTCTCTCTCTCTCTCTCTCCCCCTCTCTCTCGTCTCCTGCAGGGGCACCGTGGGCGAGCTGGGGTAGAGCGCGCCGACGGGGCCCCATCCTCGGGCCACGCGCCCACCGGCGCCGGGTCGAGGCCACTGGCTTCCAGCGCCCCGTGCACGTCGAGCAAACCTTTGCAATCGGGCCCGCTCATCCCCGCGCCCTCGCCATTTTCCTTTTCCACGTCAGAGTCGGGGGTGGCCTTGGGCTTCGAGCGAGGGCCGCCATGGGAGCCGGCCACGCTGCGCATCCCTCTGGCCCGCGGGCCGCCGGCTTCGACCTTTGTCCTTGCGGCCCCTGCCCTTGACGGAGCTGTCCATGGAGTCCTTGTTTTTGTTGAGGCAGGGCTGCGCGGGCCGTTCAGACTGGCTGCCGAACGGGGGCGGCCGAGGGGGCGCCGCTCCTGCGCAGGGGCCCTTGCCGGCGTCGCCAGTTGAGGCTGAATCCCTCGGGCTCATCGCGGGGCCCGCTGGAATGACGCGCGCGGCTAAGGGAAACAGCGAATGTCCGCCAGCGCGCGACGCGCTGGATAGCTCGCAGGAGAGGGGCCGGGCGCCCCGCGGAGCCTCGGGGCTTCCCCCGGCGAAATGAAATGACGGGCGCGGCGCGGTCGCTGGTTCTTCTCGTCTGGGCAGCCCTCGACATGGGCAGTCGCGCAGACTCGAAGGGTGCTCAGCCAGGATGCGAGCACCAGAATCTGTCAACGGTCGCAACAGCATCAGAGAAATCATCAGAGTGCGCGGCGGCAACCAGCGAGATCTCGACCAGCACAGCCAAGAGCATCCGCTCCACGGGGCGCCTGGGCGCGAAGAGGCCGAGGAGCGCGCCGAGCCCTTGCGGGCTGCGCGAAGCACAGCGCCGCTTCGCTCGAAAACTACAATGTGCCATGGGCGACCAGGATGCGCGAGCCCGGGGGGGGGCGACAGAGTCCGATCCCGCATCGTCAGGGCGCGCGCGTATCCCGAGCTTCAATAGAGAACAAATCGTGACTGCGAGCGCTCCGGCGCAGTAGTATAGCGTCAGCACTTCGACAGGCGACGCGCGCAACTCGGCCAGGGACGCTAGACAATTGGGAGGCAGTGGCACCGAGAGGAAGAAAGGGCAGGCGCGGCCATGCGCAAGAAGCCCAGGGACGATAGTGGCTACCTCACCACAGACGCGCCCTGCACGGTCCTCGCTCGCCACAGAAGCTCGACAAGATGATGGTTCCTGGGGGGGGCACGCTGAGAACAACTAGAGCGCTGCGCAAAGCACTGATGCACGCTGGCGAGCCCACTCGGAACGTCTGGATGCATCCAAACGTGACATCAGCGCAGACCCTCGCGTTGAAAGAGAGCACGCGTGTTCCAAGATTGCGAACCTGAGGCCTCCAGGACAGGAGACATCACGCAGCAATGGCAGGGAGGAGTGCCCGAAGAGGGCAGCAAACTTGCTGAAGATGCCATTCGGGCTCGCAGTCAGGCTGCACATGTCCTGCACCGCGTCGAACAACTGCTGCTTTAAAAAGCACAACTTGGCGATGGTCGAGTGGCTCTACTTGAACAGCGTGGCTTCACGACCGGCTTGTACCTCGATTTTGCATGGGGCATCCCACCCCAATGGGCCAGCCGCGGTCCCTGTCCAGGAAGATCCGCTGGTCGCTGCCGTAAAAAAATGTGCCAGGCGAGCTTGGTCTTCCTGAGGGCGATCTCCGTTTTGATCCGCCTGGGTCTCTTGTGAGCCGATATGCGTAGGCGGGCAAGCCCACCAGCGTGAGCGTCTACCTCACGTTCGAGAAAGCGGCCATCTTGACAGAAGCCCACCAGGGGCCGATCTCCACATCGCCGCCAAAGCGCATGGTGAACGTCTTGGACACGAGGTATGTGTACTTATCGGCAACGGCTTGGCGACAAACGAGTTCACCAACATCGGTTTTGATGATGCTGGGGTCGGTGTCAAGTCGGCGTCACGGTCGAAATTGCCGCCAAGGCCTGTAAGAACACGCGGTCGGGGGGTTCTGCGAGTTGGCGGCGACAGGCATCTCATCGAGCTTCTTGATTTGGGCAGCCTTCGTGGACAACTCATCATGTTGTGTCATGTTGTGTGATGCGCTGATCAAGCTGGAGGATGTATCGCTGTAAGTAATCACAAAGTGTGGCAAACTCTCTGAAGGACTCGTGGATGGGAGCCGACGCTGGGCCGACAGCGGGCTGCACGGACAGGGTGACCGAGAACGCCATCTGGAGCTTGAGGTTAGTGGGTTTCTCACCCAGCCAGCTCGCGCAGGGCACCTCAATGTGCTCGGGCGTGGAGGCCCAAGCCGTCGATGTCCTCATCGCTGGAGGCGCCCACGTGCATGGGAAGAGGGACAACGGAACCAGCAGAATCACCAGCCGTGGAAGCAGCGCCAGGAAAAGCAAAAGGTTGTGCACGCCGACGCTTCGGACAAGATCCGCCTCTGTTTACCCGCAGATGCGGCTGCCAGAAGAGACGCGGAGAATCCAGACGCACGGCCGCAGAGAAGCTCAACGTATGGGCCGAGGGGCGAAAACGTCACTGGCCTCGCCGCAGATCAAAGGTGCCCACCTGCCTGCGACCGGAAACCACAGTCTGGAGCCGCAACGGCTACGGAGGAGGAGGAGGGGGAGGAGGAGGACGAGGACAAGGACGAGGACGAGGACAAGGACAAGGACAATGCGTTCGGAGGGTGACGTCGGCGGCGGCAGCAGAAGCAGCCGCAGCAGTGACGCTCCGGGCCCCCTCTGCGCAGTTACGTCCTGCAGGCAGAGCCCCTCCGGGGGCCCGCTCACCGCAGGGGCCCCCGCCGCTGCCGAGGGGGCGGCCCCGGGCCGAGGGAGGGCGCGGCTGCGGGGCCCTGCAGGGCGCGAGCGAGAGAGGCCCTGCGGGGTGCCGGCCTGCCCCGCACGCCGGCGCGCCGCGCGGGCGGCGTGGCTGGACAGCTCCAGCGCCCGGGAGATGCGGGCCTCCTCCGCCTGGGGAGGCGGCGGGGCGCGGCGCCGCGGTCGGGGCGCCCCAGCGCGTCCCAGGCCGCGTGGGGGCGGACAATGACGGCGGCGGCGACGACGACGACGACGACGCCGACGCCGACGCCGACGACGACGACGACGGAGGCAAGGGCGAGGGCGGGGACGACAAGGCGGGTGACCACAAGGACAGCGGCGGCGACGACGACGACGACGACGACGACACCGACGACGATGACGACACGGAGGGGGACGACAAGGATAGCGGCGGCGGCGACGACCCGACGACGACGACGGAAGTGGACCCATCCCTACCCGTTGCGCTGTTGTTGTTTCTCTATCCGCCAACGGGTGTCACTGCAGACCTGGAACACCGAAGGGCCCATCGTGCTACGGGCAATCGGAAAATTGGAGCCGTGTACATCGGTAGAGGGGGAGGAGATGGCGGATGGGCAAAAGGATGAGCAGGAGGAATAAGATGAGGATGAACAAGGAGGGCGGCAAGGAGGATCAGCACCACCAATAGCAAAACTACGAAGAGCGGGAAGAGCAAGGGAACCAGGGGAAGGCGGAGGAGGGGAAAAAACCGGGGCGACAACGACAAGGAAGGACCCGGATCCTTCCCCACACCATTTCTTCCCCATGCCAGCGTTATCCGAAATAATAGCCTCACCCAATAGCTAGGGTGCCCACGCTAATTCAAATCACACAAAACCAGGTTTATCAAGTTCCGTGAGTCACCACGAAAGCTGGCACGCCCAAGTGTCAAAGAAGGATGGCACATGTCTGCAATGCGAGAAAACGCAAGGACAGCGCAACGCGTGTACAGCAGCAGCACAAACATGGAGAGGGAAACAGGCATCAGGGTGGAAAAAGGGAGAAGCAAAAACAGCAGAGAGAGAGAGAGAGGCAGGACATCGAGCGAGAGAGGAGGCAGCAAAGCAGGAAGGAAGGAAAGCACGGCAAGCAAGGCACGGCAGCAGGGTGACGGGAGGCAAAATATGAAAGTCGGAGTTAAAGGGGTGCCTGGCTCCCTGGTGAAGCCAGCTGAGTTGCTGGCGACGACTTTGCATCAACACAGCGATATTCACGCTTGCTGCTCGCCAAAAAGCTGGTACTTGACCTGTTTTCACACTTGCGATCCTGGCGCGGGGCCAATTCAATTGAACTTTCTATACCAATAAAAAAAAAAAAAAACAAGGTCGGAGCGCTGGCCCCCAACGAGAAAGTATCTGAGCAACGCGCGCAAAACCATCGGAATCCACGTGGGCAAAGCCACGGTGGGCGAGGCACCGGTGGAGGAAAAACCGCAGACAGACGGCCACTGGATGCTGCACTGTGCCACGGAGGGGCGAGCAGCAGCGGCCGACCCGGGCGCCCAAGGCCAGCGGGGCGGGTGGCCATAGGGGGCCATGGGAGGACACGGGACTCCATGGGAAACCATTATAGCCATAGGACGCCCAGCAACGACGGCTGAACCCCGCACCCAGGCGGCTGCTCACAAGCGCCCACAAGCGCTAGAGCGCGGGTGATCTCAGGCGCGCAGGCGCGCTCGGAGGCACTGCCGGGAAGGAGCTCCCAGGAGCGCAGAGAGGGTCGCAGGCGCGGAAGCACCGACTGGCATCGCCAGGCGGTCACAAGCGATCGCGCTCGCCTGGTGGAACGACCGAAGGCACCGCCCAGCGCCCACAGGCGGACACAATAATTCGCCTGCAGAAGCGCGCGGGCGGTCACGGACGTCGCCGCCCGCTGCCCTCGCAGTCCGCGTGCGCGCGCGCGGTCCGAGAGCGGCGCGCAGCAAAGTCGAGCCCGCGAGGGTTCGCGAGAACCCGCAAGAATCCGCAACGAACTCAGAAACGCAGCAGTAACCACGAGAATCTGTGAGAGTTCGCCAGGATCCGCCACGAACCTTTGCTGGAAACCCAACAGAATCCATGAGACTGTGCGAATCCGCGAGAATCAGCGGGCGAGTTCTTGAGCCTCTGGGAACCTCCGGGGGCCTCGAGGACGTCCAAGAAGACACCGTGGAGACTTGGGGAGGCTCCGGGGTCCTCTGGGCGGCGTCGTCGCTGTCGCCGTCGCCGTTGCCGCCGTCGTCGTCGGTGGCCTCCGGATAAACCTCTGGGGTCTCCTGGGCACCTCCGAAGCCTTTTAAAAGCTTACCAGGGAAACCTCGAGGGGAACCTCGGGAGGCCTCTGGACGTCGTCGTCGCCGTCGCCGTCGCAGACGTCATCGTCGTCATCGTCGTCGTTGTCGTCATCGTCGTCGGCGGCGGCGGCGTCGGCGTCGGCGTCCTTATCATCGTCGCCCCTAGCGCCGCGAGCGACTGAGCCCGCCCCGCGCGGGCAATCGGGGAGAGAACGCGCAGAATCCCGTCCGATTCGGCGCCCTCGGCGACGTGGGGCGCGTTCGAATGCATGCCTGTTGTCTGGCAAAGTATACAGACGGACGCGCGCGGGCGCACTCGCCCCATGAGCGCGCAACTACAAACAATGATGATGACGATGATGATGATGATGATGACGATGATGATGATGATGATGATGATGATGATGATGATGATGATGATGATGATGATGATGATGATGACGGTGGTGGTGGCGGCGGTGGGGATGATGATGGCGATGATGATGACGACGCCTGGATGGTAGAATAGTTCGATGTTACGTTCCATGTGCGGGATCGAATGCCCGCAAAGCGTGCGCACTCGCGTCCGAGGCACGCCATCACGACCGAAACGCGCCAGGAAGCAAAACAGCTAAGCTTCAATGCCCGATTGTTAGGCCTCGCGCCGAATCCGCGCCCGCGGGCCGGCGCTTCCGAAACCTACATTTCGAGGGCCCGCCCCCCCTTGCATCTCCGACCCTCCATGAGGCAAGGGAGCTGCAGGCCACATGAAACACTGAGCTGGTATTAAGACGCGCGGCCTAAGCTGGTATTAAGACGCGCGGCCTACCCCGCAGGCAATCGGCAGTATCCAAAGGTGGCGCGAGCCACCAAACCTAACTGAACGCATAAGGCGACGCGCCTGGCAGGCCCGCCCCGTGGCACGGGTGGCACAAAACAGTGCTCAAGTAGTGGGCGCGCAGCACTCGCCAGAGAAGAAATTACTGGGGGCGGCCATGCAAGAGCCACACCCCGCCGAAAGCACTGTGCAAGCCTGCGGCGGCCCAGAGAAGGCCAGGGCGGCCCACATCGTCGGACAGCGCCGAGCGAGGGAACGGCCTCGACCAGCGTGCAAGACGCACCAGTGTGGAGCAGAGAGCGGGGAGGAGGGGGGAGAGACGGGCCGAAAGGCGTACGCAGAGCCAAAACACCCAGCCGGTGCACTGAGCTCGCCACAGACGGGGCCGCACTCATCACACGTCCTTGAGGGCAGTCCAGAAGCCGTTCGCGGGGGCATGGCTCGGCTCTGGAGTGCGCGACGCCGACGTGGGGCTCGATTCCGTCGTGGTGGATGTGGAAGTGTTCCATTCCGCGGAGCTGAATAGCGACGCGGGGCAAGATCCGTCTCACAAGAATTGCATAGAACTGCAGTGCAGCCGTCGCAGCGGGGCACAACATCATGGCCGACTCCTTTCGATCGACAATGTCGTCGTCGGCCCGGGAGTCGGCGAGCTGGTCGGCGCGGGAGTCGGCGAACTGGTCGATGCGGGGGTCGGTGAGCTGGACGGGCTGAGTCGGTGAGCTGGACGGCGCTGGAGTCGGCGAGCTGGTCGGCGCGGGAGTCGGTAAGCTGGTCGGTGCGGGAGCCGCCACGCTGATCGACATGGGGAACGGCGTCTTGGTCAACGCGGGAGTCGGCGAGCCACTCGGCGCGGGAGTCGGCGAGCTGGTCAGCTCGGGACTCGGCGAGCTGGTCGGTGAAGTAGGCGCGGGAGTCGTCGAACTGGCCGTCGCGGGTCGGTAAGTCGGTGCGGGAGCCGCCAAGCTGATCGGTGCTTGAGTCGGCGAGCTGATCGGTGCGGGAATCGGTGAGCAGGTCGGTGCGGGTGTCAGCGAGCTGGTCGGCGAGGGAGAGAGCGAGCTGGTCGATGTGGGAGTCGGCGGCTGGGGGAGGAGGATCGACCCGAGGCGTCGCTGTCGTGACAGTGGGGAGACTGCCCGACCTGACCACCCAGAGCCACTCCTCCCCATCAGGCGGCAAGGTGCGCACGAACGGCCGAGTCTGAGGTTGCGCAGTCCCGGCACGAGGGCCGGCGGTGGAGGAGACCGCGTCCCTCGCCTTCGGCTGGCCCTTTCAGATTGGGCGGCGTCGTGGACAGTGGAGCTGATGGCGGGCCTGGCAGTGAGAACGCGGCGTGGGCGGCGGAGGTGGCGGTGATGGTGGTGGCAGTGGGGAGGAAGGTGCGGAGTGGGATGGGGGGGATGGGACGCCTGCCCAGGATGCGCGACACGCTGGCGCCCACCCAGGACGGTGGGCGGAGTGGGCGCGCCAGGGGCCTGGCAAATGTCACGGATTCGGTGCGTCGGGTAAGGCACTGGGCAGGGCGCCGGGGTGGGCGTCTGCGAGTGGCGATCGCGCGGCTGTTCTCGCTTTGAAATGCTGGCTCCTGGCCGTGCTGCTTGCAGTCGTCGCCCGGGCGCCGATGCAGGTACGCTGGTGATCCCAGGAGGCCTCGGCGCGCAGGTGCTGGAACACGACGTAGACATACCAGAGACGGGGTCGAGAAGGTGGGAGCAAGGCGTAAGAGAAGTCACCGCTGCAGCCCGCACGACCAAGAAGTAAGAAAAATATGGCCATCGCTTGTGAAACCCAAAACCAATCTGCGATGTAGGCAACGGGGAGGGGGGACAAGAAAGAGGAGGTGGTAGCCGTTGGAGTCGGTGGCGGCGGACGTCTCCCTCTACATTCCGTTCGGTCGCATCTCGACGCGTTGGAGCTGGCGTCGGAGCCGCAATCGGAAAAGGCGCAGGAGCCAGAGGGGAGCGGAACACAAATCGGCCCACGTCGTGCTGCACTTCGTCAGGTTGCTGGAGTCCGTCGTGCTGCTCATCGTCGTGCTGC